CACATCTTTCAATTTATGCATATACACATTAGTGAGATTTTTCAAGATTCCGTACTATCTTCAACAAACATCGTGATCTTTTTGATTTAAAAGGAAAAAAACAAACATCAAAGCGCATCCACGTGCAATAAAGTCTTTTCGTCATTGTATTGAACTAATTGCGTCCTTGAGTGCATTAATTTGGTTGTTGCCTTTTGTTATGGAAGGAGTCATTTGGCTCTTTTCATTAAATAGACAATGATTAGATCCATACAGCCCCGTGATGCAGTTCTCCTGAGGATGGTCATGCTCTATCAATAAACATGCGTTTCTTATGCATCTTGTTCCCTCACTAATTAATTTTTTCAAACTTATTCATCTAGTTGTTTGTTTGAGTAATTTGTTCAAAATTATTTCGTTTTTTCAATTACTTGTTCATTCATCCATTGATCCATTCATTCATTCCTTCATTCACTTTTTGTCGCGTAGAATTGGTAGTTGAGTGCTCTACTTTATCTCAAATATCGCGATTCTTGCCCTATAAAACTGTCCCTTAAGTCCAATCAGAGCTTGTCAAAACTCTTTCAGTGCGCCCTTTAACTGGTAATTCCGAAGAGGTCAATAAGTTTGCAGTCATTTGCTGCTGTAAGCGTCAATTGTTCCCATCTAACGTTAGAATTCTTTCATATTGCTAAATTATGGCAGCATTCTAATTAACTTGTAATTGGACTGAGAGCAAAAGCTCAAAACCGTTGCTATGAGAGCTGCAAAACATTTTAACAAAAAAGGAAGGCCTGATTAGTTGAATTTGCCGCTTCGCAGAGATGTGCATGTCTAGAGCTTCGATTCAATAGCCTCAAAACTGTCTTCTTTCGGCGAGCGCCTCTAAGGAAGATAAATCACAGCAGTTTTTGCGTTTACTCTATCTGAAAACAACGTTCACTCTTTGCTGAAGAAGACTAATCATAATACTTCGCTGCAGATCAAATTGAGTCCCAGATCCTTGCCCAAGTTTAGTTATTTTTTTGCTTAAACTAATGTCCGTTAAGCCCTAATCACCGGGCATTCATACAGATACATCTTCTATTAAGCAACCATCTTTGATTAGCTAGGGTTTCTTCTTTAGCAACCGAGATTAGTTTGCAAAAGAGTCAATTTTGGTGGAGCGACTTCTAGGAGGAGTGTGAGATATCTCACGCGAACTACTAAATAACTACTTGTACATTACATTTAAGTATAAGCGTTTTACCCACAGTGAGTTATGCCTCGATACTCAAGGTAGTATACAATGATAGCAATTTTATTGAAAGCAGAAATACACATGATTTCTTTGATTACTGAGTCGACATCCGCTGACATTCTTTGAATTTAGTCTTAGATGGGGAGGTTCTTAATCGCGAATTTCTCGATCTACTTAATAATTTGCTCGTCCTTTCCCAATGAAACCTCGCATTTTGGAGTTTTGCTTCTGATTGTTCGTATTGGCACAAACAGTAGAAGCAGCATTATATGTAGTCAATAGCCGAATTTCGTTGCATATCGCTGCACCTTGTTCGAATTCACCACTGCTTAGTGCTCGAGCAACAAATCATGTTTTCAGTTTAAGATGGCGGACTTAGAAGCCGTTTTGGCTGACGTCAGCTATCTGATGGCGATGGAGAAAAGCAGAAGTCAACCAGCTGCTCGAGCCAGTAAACGGATAGTTTTGCCAGATCCAAGGTGAGTCATCAGCGCTTTCAATCTTTTCTTCCATTTTCCGTTGATGCCTTTCTAACTGCAGTGCGTGGTTTCCTAACAAAAGCACCTTCTTCCTATATTATTCGGTACTTGAAAGAAATATCTTTGAAAAAGAAAAAT